GGGGACTCTGTCTGCTTATTCTCTATCTTCCATCCTCCAGCTCCAGGCTTGGAGTAGAGTGGGAGTTTAGGAACCACTTGAAAGTTAATAAATGAATACTTCTATGTCCTGTCATTTTACTCCTTTCTCCCACTGCTCTCTCAGCTCATTGCTCTGTCTCCCTGTCTCCCTGATCCTTTCCAGGTGGTCTTGGCAGAGGGGAAACAGCAGGACAGGGTGGGCAAGGGTTGTAGCTCCGCAACAGGATTAGTCCCTAGCTCTGGGAAATGTATGGTTCCTGATGAGGCGTACTTGGGTCTGCCAGGGATAGAGCATGCTTCTTGTTGTAGGAGAGGAGGAGTTCAGTTCAAGCATTTGATTACTAAGGAGCAGCCTCTGGCTACCAGAAAAGGCAAGCAGGGGCCCACCCCACCCCATCCTTCAGAAAGGAACTCTGAGTGCCAAGTAGAAATGATAGTCATTTCTACAACAAATGTTTGTGGATTATGTTTTATAAACAGGCTCCAATGTGAATCACATATAAGGTGGGGATGGCAGGTAGGATGGCAGAGGTGGCCCTTAGAAGGACTCTTATGTAAGAGGGACCACCTTCTGAAAGTGATAAGCAGGGAGAGGAGGAGTTGAGTGCCACGTAATCTATTTTAGTGAAAATGCTGGAGTTAGGCAAAAAGTAAACAAAATCAGACAGAAAGCCCTGTGTGTTTCTAGTCATCAGGGACAAGTGAGATAAAGCAATGAGCATTTCTAGGGCCCAGATTGAGGTCTGAAAATACCATTTGCCACCAAAAGAACCAGAGCTTCTTGGAGAAACTAAACCATCCCAAGCTCTTCGTGTCACATCACATCTTGGGTTTTATGTGGTCAACGTGACATCACTGGTGATCCTAACTTTCATCATTGGAGTAAGACGATTTTGCTAGGTTTGTCTACTTTGAAGTTACACACAAAAAACCTCTTTCTCTATCCTATTCTTTGGAAGCAAACCACTAAGTTTTGTCAACACTGAAGTTAGTAGGGGAATGACTTTAACTCTTGGCATTGGGACTATCTATGTTAATTATTTATAATTTTTTTTTTTTTTTTTAGACAGAGTCTCACTATGTTACCCTTAGTTGAGTGCCGTGGTGTTACAGCTCACGGCAACCTCAAACTCTTGGGCTTAAGAGATTCTCCTGCCTCAGCCTCCCAAGTAGGTGGGACTACAGGTGCCCACCCCAATGCCTGGCCATTTTTTTTGTTGTTGAGCAGTTGTCATTGTTATTTTAGCTGGCCTGGGCTGGGTTTGAACCTGCCTGCCTCAGTGTATGTCTCGGCACCCTGACAAGACTGTTTTATAGCTAGCTTTTTCTTTAATAAGTAGCAGGATTATACTATAAAATCATGTTAAAATGTATGGTAAATACATACAGCATTAACAGTTGTTTATTATCATCATCGAGTATTTTGTACTGATAATACCTGCCTGTCTGTGCTATATTTTATATGACTGGCAGCACAATAGGTTTTTTACCCCAGCATCACCCCAGATGCGTGAGTGATGTGTTGCACTATGGCGTTATAATGGCTATGACATCATAGGAATAGGAATTCCTCACCTCCTGTTATACTTAGGGATCACCATCTGGTATATGTAGTTTGTCATTTGCCACAATGTTATGTAGTACTGTGCTTATTTTTTCCACTCTGCTGTACATGTAAAGTTTCAGAATTGTAAATCTGTACTTCTGTGAGAAAAATTAACAGCTACTATTAATTCCCAGAGATTCTAGTCAAAACACCATTTTTGAAAGTTAGTTGAGCGAGCTACTTTTCTCTACATCCTCTTCAGTGAGGCTGTGTCAACATTTGCCATATGGGATTTTTCTGTTATAGTCCATATTCCATAATGAGATGTTCTGACTCCTTGGTTGATTTGTAAACTTTTCCACATTTTCAAGTTTGCTGTTTGTGGGTACAGTTCTGTAGGTTTTGACAAATGCAAAGAGCCATGCATCAAGCCCCCATACCATGCAGAGTAATGCCATCTCTCTAAAATTCCCCCTGTGCTATCCTTTTTTATAGTTGACTGCACACAACTGCAACACAGGAGACTACTGATCTGTTTTCCATTTCTACTTTCTAAAAAAATTTGACAGAATATTTTTTAGCACTTTTAGGTTTTCAGAAAAATTGAATGGAGAATTCAAGAGAAAGCCCACAGGTGCTCTTTTCACCTTCCCTCCTGCTTCTCCTATTGGTAACATCTTGCAGTGGCGTGGTACATTTGTTACAATTGATGAGCCAATGTCAACACAGTCAATATCAATATCCAGTGAATTATCAACTGGAAAATTGCTTCTGGGTCAGGTTCATTACAGGCTGCCACCTCATCATCTATTGCAAGGAAACCTTCAACATCTATTCCTTCAGATTTCGCCATGGAAGATGGACTATCTGATGAGGCCAGAATGTCATGCTCTTGGGTGACAAATCCAACTTTCTTGAAACACTTCTGTATCATTTCTGGCGTAAGTTTATTCCAAACAGAACTGATATCTCTGGACAGCATCCAGAGCATTAACTGATGGAGTGGATGAAGTTGCTTCCACAGGTGGACCACAAGTTTGTGTTCTAGGAATGAACCACTGCAGGAGCCAGGCTCAGTAGTACATTTCAAATATTTTGAGGGTGCCTTGGTGAAGAGGTTGGATTTTTGAGGTCATGTTTGGAGGCAGAAATTTCAGTGACATGCTTGTGAGATGATTTACTTGCAGGTGGCCAGGACTATTGTCTACTGTTAGTACAACAGACCATTTCGTCTTCATTTCTCAGTCAATATCTCTTACCCATTCCTCAAACAGGGCACCAGTTATCCAAGTGCATTTCTTTGATATCCAAGTGATGGAAAGGCCTTTGGGCTTCAGTCTTTTGAATACACATAGCTTTGTCTATTTACCAGTTTCTCTCTGCTTGAGCTAGTGCAAACCAGAATTGTGAAACAATCTTTGGAAAGTTTTCTGCTCTTACTTATGTCACCCTTCATGATGAGGCTCCTGTCAGACACTGCCTTGAAAAAGAATTTGCACTAGTTAAAGATGTCGTCATCTTTGAAGCCTCTGGCGAAGTCCAGGAACACTTCTTTTTAATTGTTGGAGATTCATTGAGGGTATTAGAAACCAGGTTACCCTGGTTGCATTTGTTAGGTAAAGTCCCTCTTACAATTGTGCCTTGACCCCAAAAGGTGTGTCACACACCGAGACCCCACCCCCCTCACTCCTTCCCTCTCTTTGCTCTTCCTTTCCCCCACCCCTTCCCTCCTTCTCTCTCTCTCTCTGGTCTCCC